GTATCTTTCAGGCTCTCACTGGGTTTAGAACTACAGATGAAAGAAACTTGCCCTTGACAAAAACAGAGGATGTCTTAGCATTAACTGAAAATAAAGGAAAGAGGAAAGGCAAAGTAAAAAAAAAAGTCAAGGACATTAGGTGGTGATTCAAAAGCACCTAGTATTTAAAAAAAATAAAGTTACATTCTCATGTTTTATCAATAAAATAATGTTACTTACACTGAGGATGCTTCTTTCTATCCTATTACTGTAATCAGATCCATCAGCTTTTACAAGGGCTTAGTGTAGTCTCATTTCATTATGAAAATTCAAGGGCATAGGTAGGCAATGACATTGAGCACGTTCATTTACTGATGAGCTCTAGCAGGTGTTCATTATTCACATGAAACCCTGCAAAAATACTGGGCAACAAGATTTAGCCTTTTAAATTGAAAAGTTCCAATCTTCCAGCTTGCTTTTCAAGACATTTCAATAGATTACTTCAAGCAACCTTCAAATATTATTCTAAACAAATCCTTTATGTATTTTAATTATCTTTATAACTAATAAGCCGCTACCTAGAATAAGCCACTTTAAAAAATATCTTTAAGATTTTGTATCACCAACAAATTTACAACATAATCACCTGTTGGTAGCAGTTTATAGTTTAATTCTATTACCCTTAATCCTTTTTAGCAGGTGTTTATCTAGTTAGGCACTTCAACTGGTTTTAGTCTATTCTTTTAGCTTACCTATTAATCAAAAATTTAAGAGAATTTATTACTGGAGTAGAACAGCAGTTAGATTACAAAGTCACGCAGGGCATGGCTGATCAGAGATATCACCTTAATGCCTGGCTGCAAGCCTTCCTACAGTGAAAAATTTCCCAGGAAAAAAAAACCCAAAACCGCAGGGATGCTGGAGAGCATGTGTGCAACCTATCAATAAATGTCAGAGCACACGGATGTGACCCCTACAGAAAATGAGTGGTGCTTCACCCAAATCTTACTGGCTTTACAGCAATACCTCCGAGCCAGCTTTTACTGGCTCACCTTCCCAGTCTTAAGTGATCAGACAGATCTCCTTACTTTTCTTTCACAAGTAGTGTGCCACGGAAACAGAGACCCTACTGACGCAGCTCTCAACTCCAATAACAAACAAGGAAGAGCAACAGAAAATGGCAAATGTCAAAAGGCTACAGCACTGACGACTGAAACGCAGGCCTGTACTTGTTCTGTAACAGTAAAAGGAAATACTCCAAGTTAAGATGGAAATAGCGGCTTCTAACTGCAAAACAAACATGTATATAATTAACGCCTCTCCCACCCACCTGAAGAAGCTGGTTTAAGTACTCCCAAGAGTTAAGAGAACACAAACCCCAAAACCTTGATGCTAACATTAGAGGCAGAAGGGATCCATACCCCAAATTAAATATAACTCCTTGGAAAGCATTGCTGTGAGTGGCACCAAAACATACCTTGGTTACAATCTTCAGTATGCCTGTGTCCCTGGGTATAGTCGCACCTCCTGAGACACAGCTTTCCTTCTGCAGGTAAGATTAATTCAAACAAATTGCACTTTATCTAAATATTTGTAATTTTAAATACTAAAACCTGTTGTCAGCTGCCATTTATTATATACTTGCATGGCACTAGTGCTCTAATAAAGAGCAAAGTGTCCATACGCATCACATGGAGTGATGTCTCAAGGCAGCTGTGAAGAGTAACACCAACCTGCAGAACAGTATTAAAAAAAAGTAAAGATTTACAGCGCTTTAAATAACATTCATTTAAAAAAAAAAAAAGAAAAAAGAACCACTGCTCTTTTTTGGAACACAGTGAATTTTAAGCATCTCTGTATTTTAATAGAACAGTTGAATTATTGTTATATACAGAGGAAACCAAAAGTTTGGCACTTGTAACAACTTGCATTTGTTATTGCATCCTGCAGTTTGCATGGCACATGCGTGTCACCAAAACCCATGGAGGCTGTATGGCCACAGTATTTATGGAACCAACCAGAGAAACTGCAGTTCAAACAGGGAAAAATGCTCCCTAAACCCCTCACTTCTGTACTTGTGCATTTACCAAGTCATGCAGGCACAAGAAATATTGCAGAAAAGAAATTAAGCTGCCTGGTGTTTTCTGGAAGGGGAGTTTATAAAGCAAGCCAGGCGCTTCAGTAGTTTTGATGACAGAACTCCTATTTTCAGCAAGTACTCTGCTTCAGAAGGCAGGCTGTGTGACGTGCAAGTTTTGTGCAGTCAAAAGCAAAAGGGATACAGCCTGCCCACAGTTATTAGTGAGCTGATTTTGTAAATTTGCCTTTGATTTCAGATTCACTGCTATCCTTTTGTGTAATCTCCTATTAATTTGCCTTCAATTTAAAGATGAGGTACCCTCAAAGCTACGGAAAGTCACTCGACCAGGGGCAGCTGAGTTGGTACAGCATTTTCACAATAACTAAAATCTAAGGAATAGCTGATAAAATATTTGAGGACAGGCAGACCTTGCTGCGGTATAACAGAACAGAAGACTCCTCAGGATGCCTCTTTTTCAGGTTATAAAAACAGAAAGGATGAGAATTTGAAATCCACTGCTGACTCTTTAGGAACATGAGCATCTCACAAGGCCAGGTGTGTGCCTCCCTAAGAAACCCAAGAAATTTATTTTATGAGAGCAACAGCACTTTACACTTTTGGTTCTGTAATCACTCCTTCTGCTGTGCAGAGCAGCCACAAGACTACATGCATAAAACAGCACAGAGGACACTGTTGTGTGTTTATGGTATTATCTCTTTTTTCCCCACTTGTACACTCAAAGTTTTGATTCTACCCTTAAATTAGCGATTCCAGAATTTTTCCAAAAATAACCTGCGGCACACGGAAAAAGGAAGGGGAAACATTTTAGGGAAAAAGGGTGGCAAGAGGTGGAGTGAGAAGAGAAAAAAGCTACCGCTATTCCCACGTTCCACAGCCCCTACCCCATATTTGATGATTTTCCGATTACAATGGCTGGGGTTTGTCCAATTCTACAGCAGGGGGAAGGAAAGGACACAGAGGCCCAACCCAAGTCGCTCAAGTCTGCATCGTGACCCAGCCAGTCCTCGTCTGGGATTGTGCTGAGCTTGACTCAAGATGCAACCAGCCAAGACCCGCACCCAAGGACCCAGCCCCGATCCGAGGTGGGGTGGGCACCAAGTCGGCGGCACTCTTCAGCAATACAGATGTTGGTCTCAAAACATCGGTATTTCAATGCTGTGATGAGCTCACAAACCCACTGAGGCACCCAGTTTGGTAAATCAGTAAGGAAGGTGCCTAAAAACCTGATGCCTGGAAGTCAGCAGACTGCACCTGTGGGGGAACTGGCTGAATTTGAGTGCCGATTCACGAGCTGGAAGGAATTAAGGCTACCGTGCCAAGCAAGGACAACTTAAAACAAGTTTCTAAACTGCCAAACCATCTACAACCCCTGGACTGCAAACTGAGAAAGTTCATGAGTTGCTTCCCACATGGTTCAGCCATCATATGCGGGACTACGCAGCCACCAGGAAAGCAGGGACAGCTGGGGTGGTGGCACGTACCAGTGAATCCAGTTCAATCTATAGCTGTTCACACCTTCCAACACGCTTAGGAAACCAGTGACCTCCCTCCACTTAGCACCTCTGGTATCAAAGCCTTCCTCCTCTACTGAAGTCGACCATCTCTTTCCCAAGAAAAGCCAGCGGTGAGCTGCCCCTCTCTCGTACACCATCACCTGTACAATCAGGCTCTCCCTGGGAGAAAGGAGAGACTTGGCTTCAAAGCCTTGCTCCAAACTGGGAGGCAATCAAACCTGGTTATTGCATGTCCCAAGAGATGCACTCGTCACCAGGCTTGCAGATCAGAACTAGACAGACAGACAGACAGACATAAGTCAGACCCTGAAAGATGCATCCTTTCCCTCCTACACACAAACAGAGGCTAGAACATCTTCTGGACTGGCCCCACAGACAACGCAGATGGGGAATGATCCCCACCCCCTTGAAGCAAGGCCAAGGAAGCCAGATTTGAGATCTTGGGAGTGCTTGAATCTTTGGCTTGAGCATTGACCCGAAACTCCAGAAGATGTCTCTAGAGACTGGGTCCCTGGCCGCCAACCACGCAGAAAGTGACAGGGGTACACACATGCTAAGAAATCAAGTTTGTAACTGTTTCACGTGAAAAGGCTTAAACTTCTTGGTCAAATCTCACCGAGTGCATTCGCAACACACCCCAATTACCAGCAGATTTGTTTTATTTATTAAAAAAGAAAAAAGTAAGACTACCTACTGTTAATCCTACTTTAAGTGTAAACATTTGGTTCAGTAACTTTAACTGCGAAACACTGCTAGAGTACATATGATTTGGATTTTTATGTGCATTTATTACTTAGGTTTTCTGGATGCTGAATGCCCTCAAGTATACTGGGAAGCTACAGGGAGTCAAGAGATAGCAGCCTGCAATATTCTGAACAACATTTTCGAAAGTTTTCTAAGCCACTTAGAAAACTGAGCTCAAAAGTGAAATAGATACTTAGGAACATTCATCACTTTTGAACATGGGATCTTGGCACTTTGTCTAAGAAAAAAAATTGAACAATGTAAGATTTTCAAAAAAGGGAAGTTTTACAGATAAACTAACAGCACTTGATTTATTTCACAAGACAGCCAAGGATGGAAATAGTGGTTCACATTTCTGTAGTAAAGCATTATATATAAATTTAAAATCTAAAGACATATATATATATATATACACACACACCACGTTTACTGCAATGCATAAATATATAAATTTTTTAATATGCCAACTAATATAGGTCAGAAAATTGATGTATATAGTTCAAGTTTTGCAGCACTTCAGCATTGTAAAAAATAAAAAAATAAATAATGGTCAATGGATTGGCTGCTCCCTTTTGTTTTTTTTTCCCCCACCCCTTTGCTCAGAATCAGAGTAATTCCAACCACACATCAGCGCTATGGAAGGACTGAGCACAAGTTAAGTTTCAGAATGTCTCTTCAAGGGATATTTAGTGAAATATAAATATTTTGTACTAGTTTGGGATTGTATTTCAGCATATCTAAGATGATTCAATAAAGATGACGAATGTTTACACTAACACAACCGAGGGCAGAGATTGGCTTGTCTGAGGTCCACAAAGTTGCAGAGTGGAAAGTATTGTATGTAGTTATAATACTGGTTATATGAAGTCTCTTTTTCTGAAGGGCAGGAGATCTTATTTCTATTTCCCTCTCTCTCATTTTATTACTTTTAAATAAATACAGGTTACATCCCACCCATCACAACAATAATGAAATCAAAAATTGAGGTAAAAGTGTTCTACCAGCTGATCTTGACTATGAACAAAAGTCAATTAAATATCGCTACTGATGTGAACAAGATTTAGTAAGAAATAAAATGCAAGATACTAAATTCTTCACTATAACCACACCATAAAACCCAGCTTTCAAAGTCAGACAGTAGTAAACAAGACTGTACCTTAGCACGGAAATCATTAGTAAACCAACTTTTGATCCCAATTTAAAGTCGCTGTATAAATTTTCCTTAACTCAGTCCAAAAATCATGTTTTCTGCAAAACAAATATATCCTTGTCATATTTCACCTTTGTTCTAACAGAGATAAAATTCACGTTTCTATAATCCTCAGTCTTAAAAACCATTTAGTTTGTAAGCGATCTGAAGTAAAAAGGAACACAATCTATTTTCTTTAATTTGTCAAGTTTTGTTGTCTTTTACCAAAAGCAGCAATCATCATTAACCGTTCCAAACACCGTTTCCCTTTTTACTTCAAGAAAAGCCACCAAAGCCCACACAGAAACGCACGCCACCCATCCGTACACCAGTTCATCAGGCTATTCAAATGACAGCATAGAAAAAACAGTTTACTTCTCTGTAGTATACTGTATCCATTTCAGATTAGTCCATTTTAAATATATTAAAAATATTTGTAAGAATGAAAACATTGCAAATGAATGAAAAACCATATGTACACACCTCCACCATTTTTAGGCACAGACCTTAACTTTTGAGGAAGGACTAGAAATAAAAGGTGCAACAACCAACATCTCCTATGGCATTACGGTCAAACAACAGTCTTTGCAGTGCACCAGGGAGGTTGGTTATCATATAGCTTCTGTGTATTATAGCTATCCAGTCCAAGATAGCACATTTGTTCTTACCAGTTCCCCTCACGGGAAACGCATCTTAAATCTTTTTTGCTTTTCAATAAACTTCACCAAAGGAATACCAATTCCCACCAGTTTCAGACACAAAATACCTCCTTCAATAATACGGTTTAAACTCCAAATGATTACGACTGAAGGTGTTTCCTTGATCCCCCCTTTTATTTTCCCCCCTCTCTTCTTTTTAATGTATACTTAAGTTATTTGTTCCCGAAACAAGAACTGAGACTCAAGCTTTTTAAGCATTTAAAACAAAAACAGTTACCATACCAAAGCACAGCATACAGTGTAAGTTTCAGCTGTAATTTCTCAGCTTTTCCTTTATATAGAGCTATATTATGGTGGACTGCGCAGAATTCTTCCAGTCTCCTCCACTGTCAGCATACGGATCACGGAGAAGGTACGCGAATGCGGAATAATCCTTGTTGAAGCTGCAGTCGAAAGAGCTTGCAGTTTGCGATCCGCAAAGCTGCACAGCCAGTACGGCGGAGGTCCGATGGAAATAGTGGTTTAGTGCGCTGCCAGGTTCCCGTGCTTCTTTTAAATTCTCTAACATAGTCATAATTTGTACCTGAATTCACACATTCACAAAAAAAGATAAAACGCTTAAAACATACTGTAGCTATCACCACATTTAACCTCTAATAGGGCAAATACGTGAACGAGAGCATGCACAGAAACACAAATCAATTTCTGGAGGTATAGTTGAAACTGTTGTCAAACGGAGGCTACTATGACATTTCTTATCTACTTAAACCCGCCACATTTGGAATTTTGCTCTTTTATATTTTGTAAAAGCCCTGTTGCACACTCATATATATACCTAGGGCCATGAAAGCATGCAGTCTTCCAAATGTTTTTTACAGTATGTGGCCAGATGCTAAAAGCTGAGTATTGAATATGTTTGTTAGCACACATTTATTTGGTTGGGGTTTAGAGCCAAGAGCCACTATCACATCCATATGAACCACTGGACAATGTCCCCAAAATGCAGAACCACCTGCCTACTGCTGCAAAGATGGGAGAAACAACCTCAGGCACCAACATTTTTTCTTACGTTCAGACAAACGCAGTAACATACTCTTAAGTCTTGATCTCTTCTGACCTTCAAACTGCTAATCAACCAAATGCTTGTAGCACTGAATTTGTTTCTTTGAAGAGCTCCAATGTACAAAACCAACCTGTACATTTCTGTAAGTCCAGCATAATTCCCATGAAGCCAACAGTAAATTAACAGAACACAGTCCCAGTCTATTTAAAAAAATTCAGTCTCATTAGTGCCACTTATTTAAAAGACTGGAAGAAGATAAGCAACAGGAGGTTAATTAGTTCTATTTCTGACCTGTATCGAGGTCTCCAATCACATATATGCTGGCTCCAATGGGCACAGCTCCATACACGAAGGAAGAACTAGTTGGGATACATAGGTTCTGGTCATTTAGATAAATCCACCTGTAAAAATAATAATTAAAAAAAAATGGTATGCAATTCTTATTGAGCACATTAAAAGAATTCCAGGTTCTTTTTCCAACCACCATCTTTGGCTCCAAAGCAGAGTGTACAAGTCAATTTGTTATGTAAAAACTGTTGGGAACATTGTCTAGCTCAGGACAGGTTTGGCTTTTCCTAGCCAGGAAAAGCAATTGGTACTGCTCTTTGGGAAGCTTGGGATACTTTATCCTGAAGTTACTTTATTTCAGAATTGTTCCAGTCATCTGTGTAATCTATCCTCTTGCAGCCACCCAGTGTGACCTTCTGGAAGAGAGCAGGCATGTAAGAGAGCCTCTTCTGCAACAGCTATGCCAGTCAATTTTCCCTACAGAGAAAATTTTAGGCAGCTTTGTCTTAAAATCAGTAGAGTCATAAAAGTATGTAAGTCTTAATAGTCTGTGCTAGGGGAAATAACAAATTGCTATATAGTGAGGCCTCGTTATTAAGCAGTGTCTTCCCCCATATAATTCCCTAACTTCTTTAATTGCACTTTATCTGCAGCAAGAAATCCCCAGTCCAGTAAGAAGAATGCAGCACTTGGTAATGCTTAACCTTAAACAAGGGATAGAAGACTGGAAATCAAAATGGTAAGGGATTTGGGGAAAGAAATGTCCATTACCTCAATTGAAACAGACCTTCCCGGTCATGTATCAGGCTCTTTTCAATCACGTTCTAGCTCCCACTATAATCTTACAAGTTCCCTATGTTCACTTTAAGCATATTCTCATTTCAACACTACATCAGCCTGATCGTTCTACCAAGTGAAAAGTAGTTTTCCACGTTGAAGCCTTTGGAAACCAGGTAAGTACGTACTCATTACCCACGTGGGACGCTGGCTTATAAAGATGTCCCATTTATCTAGAGTTGTCAGCATCCTCTCTATGGTTCTGAAACAAATTTCTACAAAATGCTGCTGCACTTCTGCAGATGCTGTCGCAGTTACTGTTTATAGACCCTGAAGACATACAAATCAATGCTATTTTAGGCGACTGCTCCTAGATCTTTTATTAAATAAAATAAATTAAATAAAATTTACAGAGAACTGGAAAGTTTGAAAAACCTTTGAAAAGCATCCCATGTATTTTCACGGCCATACCTGGTTAATTTGATGGAAAAAGTTGAGAAATATCCTTGCGGATACTGCTGACCTTTGAAAATTCTGCATTATCTTGACTCATGATTCATAAGTAAGCCTCTCTTCTGGCACTGAAGGAGAGGCTGCTACGTATCAATTATCTTGGAGAGAGAGATCAATTTTTAAAGGCCAAACGAAAGGACTAGCTGTCCATTATTTTGTCTTTGCTATACACTGAAGGATTAAGATTCTGGAGAAAGCAAGGGTATAGTTTGTAGCTGTCACAGAGGACAACAGATGAACTGAGAACAGAGAAAAGGATAAGTCGTCTACACTGATTCAAAAACTGTTACAGAGCAAAACACCTTGCACTATATTTCATTTGCTTCTTTTCCTTCCTGTGGAAAGAGGGCACAGTCAGTATTTTCACTGCTTTCTACCACCAAGTTACCTAGAATTATGAAAACTGAATAAGTAGCAGAGAAATGCAGGAGGAAGACTGCAATTTTTTTTTTTTTTTAAATAGTAAATACAGGATCATGTTAAGGAAGGACAAAAACCAATTAAATGGGTTTAGTCTAGCTACTCATCAAGTTTGGGCTTGGAAAATATGTGAACTTCAGGGGTTTATCTGCACTACATACTCAGGGTTTCAGAGCTGAAATAAAAAAAAACAAACCCACAACAGTGTGAGGCCCAAGCATTTTCCTACTGCACACCACAAAAGGACTAATATTAAAGTATCTGTAGTTGCTTGTGAAAATTCATTCTTAACCTTTCTCAACGCATATACTTTAAAAACAGGCACAACTTTTCAGGAATGCTTACAGCAGCTTTAGCAGTTAAAACTAGGAAGGAACAAAGACAGGAAGGGCAAGGGGTCACATTTCATCAGAATTTGACTAAGCTCCAGCTTTATGTGGGTTGTGCCTGCTGTTTGAACAGTATGGAAAAAACACAATGACAAAAAATTCACCATCTTTCAATTTGAAAACGCTCCTTGGAACATAACTCTTGCGTACTTCCCTGGGATGGCTCTACTCAAACCGAATCCGAGAGTAGCAGGGGGAAAGGCATGTACCTCTGTAACCAGAGACAGAGGTGATGGCTCTGAAACAGAAATATGCTTCCACTCAAATTAAAAAAAGAGGAAGGAATCCTGGGGTTTTTTCAGTCTTAAAGTGATATAAACAAAATAATCCATCCACACCGCTGTAATTAACAAGCAGGATGGTAACTTTTACTTCCAAGAGGGAAGTAAATAAAGATGCAATACAGAAACAACATATTCCAGACACAACATGTCACTTCAAGCTCACACTAGCTGTGAAAGGAAGCCTACAACTGAATCCAAATTTTCTCTGTGCTATCAGTCAGCCAGTTAGTTTTCTCATTACATTTGCATAAGCACTTTCTTTTAATGAAATTCCTGCACACTGAATGGGACAATCTTCCTAATTACACATACTATGTTACAAGATTATTTAGTTTACTATTTACACACTGCTGAAAGCATTTCCTTATTTTTACAATGTTCCAGTAGCAAAAAGAATATTTTAAAGTTTTTACCAAGTATTGCTTCTGAACAAGTATCTCTCACTTTTATCCTCCTCAATACCTGTGAATTTTGATAACGCTTTTGAACCAGGAGCTCATGAAAAGAAGGAAGAAAGCCTACCCCAGGAGGCAGGAGTGGCTATACACAAGGACAGAGCTCCACCAGCAGCTCTTGCAAAGAAACCTAAAGTAATCTGTGCTTTATTAAATATTTCCAAATAGCCACACTGAAAAGAAAAAAAACCACACTGTGTACAGACATCATCCAATTCTCCACACACCTACATGATGCAAAAATGCATATTATAAATTATGAACCCTGGTAGAAGGAAAGACTGACCCATGAAGGTCTTTACTACATAGTTAAGATTTCCTGCTTTTTATGGAGTAGACCAACACTGGATTATTGAGCGAGGATACCCTTACACCTCCCATCTCCCACTTTCACATTTTTTCAAGTCTATTTTTAGCTTGATTGATATTTTAAAAACAGGATGTACACACAGCTCAATCTATAGCCTTTGGGAAAAAAAAACCTACATCCTGAAAAAACCTGCAGTCTGACACGCGTATTTTCTATCCTCAGTTCACTTAAATTCACTCATACACATGAATCTAAAGACAGGCTGACAAAACATTTATTAATTGAAAAATCTGTTACAGAAGTACTTCAAATATGAGAATTATTTTCTACATTATCCTGTCCACATTTCATGTGTATGCTAGTATTCTGTCTCACTTCATTTATTTTATTACTTGTTTATACAGTATAGATTAACAGGAGTCTCAATGTTTACTTTTTTGCTAGTGTGAAGATCTCAGCATATCCCTAGTCTTTAGAAAAGTCTGCGTCATGGTTAAGAATAACAATTTTGAAAGACTCTGCACTGCGAGTTATTCTGGAGTAAGTTACTGTCAAAGTAAGCAATATTAAACAAGTTAAGCTTCAGTCCTTTAATCCAAGTCAAGCCAGAATTATGCCAGTTTGTATACTGATTGTAAGTACATACTTAGACATACACATGAAGTAAAACCCGTAACTCAGATCCTCATGGACTCTGGATGCCTAGGATGATGCTAGACCCTGTATACTCAGGTAATGAGAGCTGAGGCATATATGAAAAATGATGCAGATCACACACGTGTGCATTGCTACACATCACTCTAGACCAACAATATCTGATGGCTGAACTCACAGTACAAAAAATTCTTTCCATTCAAAAAGAAAGTGAACATGACGGAGTTCTGCACTTACTTAAAAACAGCTGGAAAAGTCTGTAGCTCATTATGAAGTATGCAATACCAATACATAACTATTAAAAAAACAGTATGAATTTTGGTTCGAGACTGCTAGAATTTATACGCTGTGCTTTTGACCCACTACTGCTAAATGATCTTGCAAACATATTCCTCCTTTCCACAAACCTCCCTTAACCCAACACTTCTGGACTTCTGTCAATAATATACACATACGCTATCAATGTGATATTTTAGCTTTCTCAGTTCCAGTATTATTCCTTCACTGTAACTACAAAGAGAATATGCACTGTGGAGTCTGAAGGTGCTTATATCTACCCTTCATGATGACTTTTTGAAGCTGTTGGTTTGAAGGGGACTAATTACCTTTATTTGTCTCAGAAACTATTGCTGAGGAAATAAATGTACTTTTCAATGTTAAATTAATCACCTTGTAGCAAATGCATATTGTTTTAGATGAAGAATCAGTCTTTGTATATATGACATAAACTATGCAGTAAGGAACTGAGAGAGATATTGTCCACCTGTAGTAAAATCTGTAGCATCACTTACACTTTACTCTCGAGTACTGATGCACAGCAGAGCATATGATACCCAGTGCAAGTGGAATTGCTTAACTAATCAAACACACACATTGGTATTTAGCATAAGGTTTTCCACAGACTTAAGAGAAGCATATTATTTAAGCTTTCATCCTTCACTCAAAATAAAGTGATTTAGATTTGTTTTCCGCTATTTCTGAATCAGCCCAGGAAATAATACCCTTATGTTTTCCAGAGAGTCAACTTGCCTTCATTTGGTATTCATTTGATATTTGTGAAACACTATTATAATGAAATTACAATAATTTTCCACATTCAATCCTACATCAAAGAAGAGTACCAGACAACAAAGTATTTTGTCTCGGTATTCGGCAGGCAGAAATATTTACTAACTGCATTTTGAAGGGAAGTCCCTTTATGGCTATTTTCTCTCTTTTCCACATACGTACAACTGCTCAAGTCTCACAGCCACTGCCACAGCCACCCCGAAAGCCATCCATCCTGTGCAGCACTCTGAGGGTACCGAAATTCGGGGTAACTCTGAGACCCCACGAGCTGGAGTGCCACAACATAATAACGCAGTAACACTGCACCCTCTCCTGGCCAGTAACACCCCTTCTGCCTCCTCGGGCTGGAACTGGGGGGACCTTCCCAAACGGAGAGCAGAGGCACAAACCCCAGCTAGCAGCACTAGAAGCAGAAGTGGCCATCTTCCCGGTCTTCGCTGGCCCTCCATTTCCAAAGGAAAACACGCAGCCTGTGAACCACCTGCAGTGCAAGCACAAATTTATGCTGAGTTGAATTTCTAAGCTCAAATTCTGCGCAGTGGCAGAGCAAAAAGGCAAAGTCCGAGTATCTCAGCAGCCCTTAAAGCACGCCTCCTCCAGCGACTCGAGACTCGGATGAGTTGCTGCTGCCTCACCTTCTTCTGTGCCAGCACAGCCCTCGTGTCACGAGCACAGCACACGGGGTGCTAGAACGAGACCTGAAGCAACTGGATTTTTATTACAGTTTTACTTGAATCCTGTAACACCTCTGGGATGCCACCAAGCAAAGACACAAATACACCCATTAGAAATACTGCCAGGCAGGCGGCTGTGCTGCAGTCAGCAGGTGGCACCAAGGACTCACCTGCAGCACCTAGTCGGGAACCTCCGAAATTTTTCAAACTCCACTTTATGAAACCTCAATCGGTATCAACCAGTGAAACAGGTTTACAGTGGCTGGTGAGGAATCACAAGCTACTATATACCACCTTTTGAAGAACAGAATCAGCCTGTAAATATTTCAGGCAAATAACTAAACATAGCAAGTAGGAGATAAAGGTGCACTTCCAGAATTCTTTCCTTTTCAAAGGCCTTTTGCCAAAAAGTTAATCAGCTTCTAGCATTTCCCCACACTCCCATTGGGCTAGAAAATGCTAGAGAGCATCAGCAGCAATAGCCTTTCTCATCTGTCTGCTTCCTATAATCACTCTGAAGAATGCTTTTTCTCCAGTTTCATTTGATTACAGCTAGTTTAGACATCACTTTGAACAACACAGAAGACCTATTCATACAGAAATTAAAGTCTCTTTACATCCACATCTTGCAAGAAAATTATATAATGAACTTACATCTACTATTCCATTTTTGTGTGCTTTTATACAGGTCACAGTTATAAATCAGTCTTGATCTTGTAATACAGACATGTTAATCTCCTCCACTGTCAACAAGCCTTGAAACATCTGACCACAAAGTCTTTTTTTCAATTTAGTTTATAAAAAAGAGAATAATCCAATTTATAGTTATTTCCAAGGAAAAAAACACTGGAGGAAACAAAGCTTGTCAGTTATGACGGGAGAATAAGGTGACTATACACAAAATTCTGTCTAACGTAACATTTTGAATAGTTACCACATGTAGTAAGGCAGATTCCAATACCACAGCCAAGAGATAACAAATGAAGTCATTAGAAGCAGATTCAAAACAAACAAAAGATTAGTCATGCACAGTGTGTCTGTGGAATGTTACACATCCATAGTGTCTTTCCTATGGCAAAAGCCTACATGGGTTCAAAAAGCAATCGGCTACAAACGCTTGGAACAAAAATGCATGAAATCTCTTATCTCTAGCTTAGGAATTCCCTAAGCTGCAAATCCCTGGAGATAGGACTGGATCATGGAGAAGTAAGTATCCGTGTACACAGTTACACTCCTCCATTAGCACTCACAAGGAGCCTAGGGCATGAATCGGGGTGGGAGGCAGCAGACCCCAGCACTTGGGGAAACCGCAGAGTGCAGGGGAAGAACCAGGCAAACATGACCAAGGTGCTTCTCCTGTTCAGGGGCACTCAAGACTGACGTAGTGGCCCAGGTCTTTAGGCTTGGTATCTTAGAGGGACAAGCCACTGAAGCAGATGGACCTTCAGTAACAGCCATACTGGATCGTAAAAGGTAAAATGAGCAACACAGATGCATGGCACAGATCTAATATGCTTTGAAGTGCTGGAGCAAGGGCAGGGGAACAGACAGGCAAGTGTGTAAGATATGTGTTTTCTATGTATATAGCTGCAGCTAGTTACCTTTTAAACTCATCATGATAAAATTCAGATTTGCACGTCACCATCTCACTGGCTTGACTGTCATCACGACTCCTGACCCCGCCAAATACATAAAGTTCAGAGGCAACTCCACAGGCCACTGCCCCAAATCTAAGAATCCAAATAAGAAAAAAATAAATAAATGCAACATACCAAAACCATTTCACATATCCTTCTGAACTTTCTCCATTTTTTACAATTATTTTTATTTATATACACACATATGTTCAACAAGGTAAGATGAGTCATGAACATGAATTGTAAGCACTTAATTCAGACCATGTAAAAGAACAAAACAGCAAAGTATCTCTGGTCAAAATCTGAAGTTCCAATTGAACTACAATTTCTGGTTTTCATTTTGCATCAGGGTAGTATTAATTGTAACATGAGGAGTGCATTTCTACAAAATCCATATTTATTGCTCGGATGCTTATCTTTACTCAGCCACATGTTAACTACAGGCCACCACAATTCAAAAAGACACATGGTGAAATTCGTAGGGCCTCTGACAGCCATCTTCAGGGATCCATCAAAGAAAGGACAACTTCCTCTCATCAGAATGTTGAAGGTGGCTGTACACAGCAACGTAGTTCCCCCCTTCCATTTTCACTCACCTTCTCTCTTTCAGAGGACAGATTGCTGTCCACTGCTGAGTCCTAGGGTCATAACACTCAACAGATTCAAAGAGTTTTCCATAGGAGCCTCCACCCATTGCATAGATTTTCTTCTTCATAGCTGCATAGCAGCCAATCTTGTGGAAAAAGAAAAAGTACATCTAAAATTACACACAAATGCACAGTATTGAGAGCTCAAAACTAACTATATACACAAACACGTATGTATTTGGGTTGCCTGTACAACCTGTCAAACAATGCCATGCATAAAAGTTCTCAGCCACAGTTTTGTTTTGGTATATAAATAAAGCAGCTGCTCTCCCTCATTTCATTTTGTGACTGTTTCTTACAGCGTCTACTTGAAGCAAAAGGTTGGGAAAAAAAAATATATATGTTGGCATTAACTATTTAACAATAAGTAATGCAATAACATATGATGTAGTTCTTACCTTTCTAACCATGGTCAAGTCTGGCTGCTTGGTCCAGGTCCGGCTATAAATATCATAGCTTTCCATAGAGATTAGCTCCCTTTCACCGTCCTCACCTCCCAGAATGTATAGAATTCCATCAATCTCTACCACACCAAAATTATGTCGTGCCTAAGGAGTATCAATGAAGACAACATTGTAAAACATAACTGCCACTGTGAATAAATCAGTACAATCTTTTTTTTCAGCATATGTCTGCAAAGTGATATTGGTATCATGCCTGTTTTCTGTTTTGATTTTTTTGTAAATGGTGAAGTCCTAAACTCCAGAATAAGATTATTAATTCATTCAACTAAACAAAACGAAGGGTATTCAAAGAAGACAGAGCAATGAAAGCCAAAGAGACTGCACAGAAATCTAAGAACAGAGCTTGGCTGTATTTTGGTTTGCATAGTAGTACTCTCCATGATGAAGCTGTTGCTTTCAGGTCTCTACAGCAGCAAAACTCAGACCCATTATCTGTGATAAAGGCAGCTCTTCTGTTTTTATGTAGGAGCACAGCTACCCTCAGTCTCACAGTCAACAGGAAACATAATGTATCGTAAAGTCTTACGCATAGTAAGCAGGAAACTTAACGCACCGTAACTACAAATGTGGCCAAAACTACAGCCTTTGCCAACCAGAGACTGTAATGAGGAAAATCCTGTGGCAAACAATTTCTTAGTAAACAACCTACGCTGATTTAAGAAGATAAAAACACAGGTGTATTAAGGATATATGTTTACAAATAATAAACTGTTACTTTTTGATGGAATGCAAATATGAAGGAAGCATTAACTCAAACCAAACCTAAATGTGTCTGTGCAAGCCAAGTTCTGTACGTTGGCCCGTCCTCTGTCCATCTTTTCTGCACAGTCCGATCCCTTTGTCCATTTAAGAGTTCTCTTGTTTTAGAAGGCCAGTATACGCAGAACACTAGGTATACTTTATGACTGATTCACTAGGAAATTCCTGAAATTTTGTAGTTCATCTTTACAGCTAGTTCTTCACTAATTGTTTAGTTTTTCCAGATCCAGCAGTCAGTATCAGACCACAAGTATAACAACAGGATATAAACAGAAGTCAGTCTGTAGCGTGACTTTGAATGTGTAAGATGCAAGTGACTGGAGATTCAGAATAAAATTTTGCAGGAGAAATGGAACATTTTGCCAAAGTCAAAACTCAAATCCCAACAGTTAGATAGTGATCTTGCCTCATTCATTGGTGGTAAGGAACTCCATGAATTGGTATCTGGATCATATTTCTCTCCAGAGCTTAGCGTTCCCTTGTTTTCATCCTGACCACCAAGCACAAATAAAAATCCTTCTGTAAAACAAAATGTAACATGATCTTAAAAACAGGACTCACACCTGTACACTGAGCAAGACAATGTGACTGGTGAGCTGTGTCCTAGAACTCACTAAGAGCTTCAGACCAGTCACAGGTCAAACTCTGGATTGGAGAAGGTAAAGCACATACTTATATCTGGACTCAAGTCTACCCCTGCAGATACTCTTCAACATATTCAGTGATGCAGCAACTAGAATTTACTTAAAACATGAAATATTCCTGGAGAGACAGATGTAGCAGATTCCCACAAAATGTTGTGGGAATAGTGATTTTAAGACACTCAGATGACAGGGATTTTCACAGAATCAAGTAATGTTTTGGGCAGACAAAGGGGAAGCATGAAATAACCCCAGTGCAGTCAATCTTAAAGAAAAAATATTATAATAAAGCTGTATCTCAGTTTTTGAGGCACTGGTAAGTTTTCATAATATTGACTTTACAAATACAAAGTTCCCCTTTACCTGCTGACAATACTCCATGATTGATCCTTGGAATACTCATAGGAGCAAGTTCAATCCAGAGCTGTCTATTGGGATCATAAAGAGGACACATACACCGCATCACTGAGGTTGGTTTCCGTGATCTGAACACAGGGTGGGGAGGGAACAAACAAAAACAGAGAGACAAGACAGAGTTTTACAAGTTCACTGTTAACAACTCGTGTCCGAAGCTTGCTTATTCATGTTTTAATATATATTCATAAAGTGTGGTATTTCCCTGGTAAGGAGAAGACCCCCAAACCAAACGTGTGTAAATTGAGTTTTGTACAGACTGGAGACGTAACAAGCAGAGGTACTTCATTCATACTATATCTGCCTGTAATAGTTTTTATGAAGGAACTTAGAACAAACTAAAAAGAACTGATATGGGAGTATTAGTAATGTCGGAGTGAAGCGATCCACAAACTGATGTGCAAAATATTATTTGAGTAATTACACTTCTATAAAGAGCAAACATCTAAGTGCTAAACTTATTTAAAGAGGACAAAACCCTCCCCTCTACTGCAGAGGGTACTCACGAAAAGAAAGGGATTATTGTGTGGAACAGGAATTTTCACCTGGCATCTCAGATACACCAATACTAACTTTTTTTTTGGAAACACAGCTATTGTAAACAAAACAGTTAAAGCATGTGTTCATTATTTTTAAGATTTATTAGAGATGCTTTTCAGATCATTAGAAAAGTGCTTCTCCAACATTCTGTGCTTATTTTTAGTAAAGTCTATGCAGTTTAAAAACAAAACCAGCCAACACTACTGAACAAACAACATGCCTTACTCTAATGCTGAATGTCAGAAAGTAACTATTTATTGCTGAATCATTCAAAAAGGTATTTTTCGTGTGTCTGACCAACTTAAAAACAAACTCAAATGATAGAGTAATAAGCCCATTAGGTGCACATATTCTCTCCATGCTGTTTTCAGATGTGCTGTGAATGTGAGACACTTGTATTTTTACCAGCTGTGACAACCTGTGATGCCACTTCATACTTACACTCGTTCTTCTCCACCAACAGTCACTATACACTCCGAGTAACCCCGGGGCTTGAAGGAGGCCAGCATCGCCTCTCCCTGCTGGGGCGGCGTGAGGGGAATATTGTTGCATTCTTTGACGATCTCCCGTACCAGTGGTTCGCTCATCATCTGCTCACGTAAATACGCTGCATCTAAGCCCGAAACCCACACTGCTGACATGACATCCTTCATGTGAACCTACAGAAAGAGATAAGTGCCAGAAAATCCCCCAAACTTTACAGAACAGCACTAAGGCACTTGTACATACAGATGCTTCTACATTTATCAAAACCTTGAAAGAGTATTTTTGATATTTGGAAGTAACAATAACATTATGTTGTAGATTTTGTTAAGAAAATGCATCAAGCCTTTAAAGTTTCACTACAAATGTGCTACTTGCTTTCTCTCTACAACAAGAGTGTATCATCAAATGCCAAAAATGTACATTCTTTCCTTCGTGCCTATTAAATAATAAAGAGAGTAGATGATATATCATCAATACAACTTTTACCCTTTTACTGCAACACCACTGTCTGCATTTCAGGCAAAATGCAACTAGTTCTATAAATGCAAGATTAGCCCCAAAAGAAATGTATCCATGTTAAGCTCCCACCAATTAGAATAAACACACTGATTTGGATCCCAATCAAAATATAAACATTTTGATGTCCTGACCTTTCTTGACTCTGAATCATGAGAAATCCACCTAATCACCGCTTCAAAGACGTATCTTTCATTTCCAACATTGAGCTTTTCCATCGACAGCACTTCTTTCAGTTTTTGAGGAGTCAGTTCCAAGAATTCCTCTGTGCTGCTGACATCTCGAAAGTGAGTTTCCAGATACTCTGAGGCAAGGTAGTGAACATGATGCAAACAATAGTGCAGTGCAAAGTCCCGAATACCAATACAGTTCTCAGCAGCTATGCAACCTTCTAAAAACTCACAGCAGAGAGTTTTTAAGTCTGTAAGCAGCAGGAGATCAGCTGCCTGTACCACATCTTGGATAGTTTCTTCATTTAGCCTGATCTGCAAGAATTAATTTAGAAGTTATAGCTACTATCACTCATTTGTTTCATGACATGTCCGCATTCATTACACTCATTCTCAGTGGCTGAAAAATGGAGTATTAATGCCAGTGTAAAAATTATGAGAAATTGATATGACTACTACATGTTTGTAAGTTAATACAGGGATGGAAAGGCATTTGCTTGACAGAAGGTGTCAAGCAGAATTTTGCACCTGAAGGGAACCATGAAATTGCTCATCTAATCTGAGAACCTAGAATGAATTTTGCTGCAATTAATAAATAATTTTTTAAAATGCATGTCCAGAAAAGAATTCCAAGCCACATCTCCCTTTTCTTTTTCTGCTGAAAGTTAAAACTCGTTCAGCAATCTCCATCTGGTTCCAAATAAACTGGACACACCAACGTTAATTCCTGCTAAGGCTACTGGCACAAAGATCTGAAGGGGCAGGCTGTCAGCAACAAGAGGCCAGAGAGGTGGGCATGAGGGTCAGTCAGGGAGGATGCCTGATGTACTGTTATGTTCAGTGATGGAGTCTCAATCTCTATTGCTATCAAGTCCAGTTCTCTTTTACAGCTTTAAAAGACTGCGTGTTTTAGAGCAGGTTACTGAAAGTACCCACAAATTTTAATACAAGCATTGCATATGACTCTTTTAGAGTCCTCTCTCACGGCATGAGAAGAGCAGAGACAACTCCTGCAGAGCCTACTGCCTCTGCTTCACATGCACAGCCCCAGTGTGATATACCACTTTGTGGAAGTTTTACCACAAAGCTTTAAACCTTGATAAGTTTATCTTTCAGGATAGCACTGTTAAAACCCAGGTTATTTTGCCAAATAATTAACTTTCCATCTAGTTTTTTTTAATACCATACCTGCCCACTGAAGATGTAATCTAGTATCTCTTTCATGATATCAACAGATATCCCTTCAAGTTCAATCTTGTATGTTGAGCCATCATCCTTTGGAGGATTATAATTCAATTTCGTTCTAAGAGAGGAGAAAAAGAGAAAAAAAAAAAAAAAGCTTACAACCTGGGCATTGCTTGCTCTCAGTTTTCTGAAGAAACAAATGCTAGCTATGGATCACTTTAGCTCTAACAGAGATGTTAAAATCTTACAACAGGATTTGAAATTTGTCTCTCTTGAATTAGCATGAAAAGGATGCATGTATGGTCTCTAATATTGCTCATCACGTTTCCAAACTGAACAAATAAGTTAGCCTTGCAAACTACCCATGGCATCAAAGAGCCAAAGTAATTTTTTCCCAGCTCATTCATCACAAGCATTCAAAAACTTCAGTCAGAACTTCAAACAGAACAGCAGCTCTGCTGACAGATGAAACATAAGAATTTGCTTTGATAAAGATGGAAAAAAAAACCCAAACCAAAACAAAATCACTTTACCAAGAAAAAAATAATTACAGTGAGCAGATGTGATCACAATACACACTAGCAGCACAAATATTTGGATTGCATTACCATTTTGTGTAGTTTATGATGTTATCAGCCTAATGCTATGCCTGGCTGTAACCAAACTGTGTGCTCACAGTTGGAGGAAACAGCCCATGTGCTGCTCAGCTGAGCTTTAAATAATCATCTACATCAGTGGACGCTTCACTTATGAGCAATTTCTTTAAAAATACCAGGAACAGTTTGATGTGCCTTTGAATAGAATGGAAAGGGTCTGGGGGGAAAGATTAGGAAATAATAATAATACAGCAGACAGCTTTGCTTTCCATGATCCATTAACGTAAACACCTTTTCCAGGAAAGACAACTTTAAGTGTTCAAAAGGGAGCAGTGTCCACTAATCTAGTGAAAACAGCCACAAGAGCTAATAAAAGATCATTTTGAACATCTTTTTTCCACCCTTTAGGCAACGAAGAATACATTATATAAAGACCAGAAAACTTGTTTCACTACCTCTGTGTATATATAGGTAACTACATCTATATCACAGCACATGAAAATAAAAGCCTTAAAAACATTTTTATATTCATTTGAATATATTCTTAGATAGAATTAGTTTCTTAATGTGAAAAGCTGTGGCTTTGCTGAGCTGAAAGTGTCTAGTTTGTCACAGTCTTCCACTATCCACACTCATACTAAGTAAATACATAAATAGGACTTAGCTAAGGGCAGATTCTGCTTTACTTACTCATAACGGAATAAATTAGTTTCTCACAAAATAAGATATAACTTGCATCAAATAAAATCCTAGCCTACAAGGAGCTATATTTAGGTGTGAATAAGGATGGTAATTTTAGCCCTGAAGTTAATCATATTTGTGGTCTTGTTTTCACATTGCTTTTCTACACTGCAAGAAACCCATCACCAGCGAGCAGAACACCCTGGCAGATAAGGCTACTCTGATGCATACGTACAACTATACGAGGTCTGAAGCTAAGCTGCTTCACTCTGTGTTTGTACAGCACCTAGCACAAGTTCTAATACAAACAGTAACAACAACAATATAATATGGATTAGGAAATTGTTTATTTCCTAACACTTGGAAGGACATTAGAAAAATTAAGCCTGTTCTCTAAACAGAAGTCTATGTGACTTCCAGTAAAGTGCATGCTGCGATAGCAGACATTGATTTGCAATGCATCAGCTGAAAACTTCTAAACTGAATATACGTCTCAAGTAATACCATACAACATGTATCTCAACTCATGCCATCCTAGCCCACATGGAATGTGCATTTTTCATGCCTACAAGCTCCAAACAAATGAAAGAGCATATACACACATAGAAACAGGCATTTTCAACTCTAACACAGTGCCAAGGCTTCTTTACGCACATTTTCAGATCTATCCAAACTACCGCAATTTTAATTATGCCGACTATGCTCAAGTTTTGGGTTTCTTGGTTTGTAATGAAAGCTGCATCTTGTTTCCTGAGATGAAATGGTGTTTTCTTTTCATTTAACATAAAATGTACCAAGGTTTGTGGCATCTGGCTTCCTTCACCAGGAAAGAGAGGCAGACAGAGTGTATCTGGATCTCACACGTATAGGGTACCTACGAGTCGCTGGTATGGTCAAATACACAGCAGGATCTAGACAGAACCTGGGTAGTCCAACACATTGTGGGGCATATAATATAAAAGGCATATAATAAACATGTTGCATGACACCACTAATGGGGAGATTAGGGAAAGGACTAGTGCTATTTATCACTAATTTTCATCTTAGCATCACCTGTACACACCCAGGCTAAATCACCTCATTGCAAGGACTTTACACTGACGCCTCCTGGTAACAAGAAAGTGTTGTTCAGAGTTTTTGCGTCTTATCAGGCTAGATGTTCTAATTACTGTGTACTTTTTCAGGCATCAACAGCTGTTAACCTGAAAAGAAACAAACCAGCCACTGATGCAAGCCAAAAACACAAACTCAAAGCAGAAAAATAGCCTTGAGAACAAATCAGTTCATTTCAAAGTTATAGCTACTTGTATGCAGGCAAACATTCACCTTATGCAAATGCATCCCAGTTCAGACTAAGCTTTGTTCCTATCATCTGTCCTGAGAAGCTGTAGTTACCCATCTGTCACACAACTTTGATTTGTTCGTTAATAAACTACTAGGTTATTTATTTTGGTACAAAGATTTCCAAGCTATGACACAAGAACCATTCCCAAACGGCAGCTGGAGGTACTTGTGTATCACATCAAGCAGGACAGCTACTGGCTGTTGGGAAGGGGGGAGGAAAAAAAATTATGCAAGGACACAGTAAAACCAGGTTTGGAGCTGGAAAAGTTTAAGATAGAAAACTGTGAGTGTAATGTGGAAAGCAAGCTGAAGGAGGAGAAAAAAGTAGGAGGTATGTAAGCGGCAGGCAAGGAGCCATGCCTCCTCTTGCATCACCCAGCATCAACTCTTACCTGCACCCACACCTCGCTAGCAAACTGAGGTCTGGGCATCCCTGTCATCATAACACATGCAACAGACAGAATGAGAAAATTTCAAAACATGTTTGTTCCCAGTTCAGAAAGACAGAGCGGACAGCATGCAGTGAAACATTTAACCCTGGTCCTCTACCAAATTTCACTTTAGAGAAAAAAAAGACATTTCTAGCTATGCTTAAGCAGAGGTTTTCCAATCTGTCAGATTCCCAGGAAGGAGGATGCTTTCCACCATGCTCTTCCCCATAGCAATTTATTCAGCCCACGATTTGTGTGGCTGAAAGCTGGAAGTGGTAATCGGCAACCCAAGGTGCAGAGATGTGCCCAGCTGCAGCACGGCTGCTTCTAACACATGCATGTGAGAGCTTCCTACTCCGGACAACATTTCCAATTACTTTAAAAGCACTCTAAGCTGCCAAACCACAGCAGAAAAGGCTGCCTCAGTCTTCCTTAATTCAGATGAAAGGCCAGAACATCAAGATGTAGAAGGAAATAAAACCCCCACAGCCAACCAGAAAACCCATTAGCTGGGAGCGGAGCACAGCTGAGACACACACAGAGCTGGGGGGAAACAAAACAAGGCAACTTCTTGGTCCTGTTTTCTTAACTAATTTAATTTTGAGCAGCTTGATTCCACACATGTTTTAAAACAATGTTTTGCATTTTTTAATTAAGAAGATCATCATTGTAAGTTGAAATTGCTTCCAGTAATATAAATAGTGTTCCACAAATGCGTAACATCCACCCCAACCTCTCGTACTTCATCAAGAAAATTGCTTGGCACATACTACACCTTGAGATAGTGGCATAAGAACAACTGGGTTTATGTTGTGTTTACATGTCGTGTGTCTGTGTGACAAATTTAGAATCTGCTCTTCCACATCACTTAAGGAATATAATCCTAGTGAGTCATCTCAAATGACACTACATAAGGCAGAATGAGGAAAAAAATTTCAATACCTCTTCTGTATAGGTAAGCAACAATATAAGCAAGGTATATTGTTAAAATGAAAACAAGGGCTTAAGAACAAACGTTGATATTGCTAGGAGTCACAATTCACATCTAATGGCATAAACCAGATTCAAATAATTAAAAAAACCCAACAACAAAACCCAAACCAACAGATAAATTTGAGACTATCCATAGTTCTTGTTAAAATTAAGATGGATCTTCCAACTTACCTCTCATTTATACGAGCGAAACAAAGAAAAACACATAGTCATACTTCCAACATTACAGCCAAGTCCCTGTGAGAGCACTGTTGTGGAACAGTTAAGATGCATGAGAAGCACACTGAGAAAGGGTCCATGTGTCTGAAAACTTGGTTTTCCTACCTTTTACAGTTGACAGTTTACAGGAGGGGGAACAGTAAAAACAACAGTTTTGTTGTTTCCCAACGAAACAAAACAACAAACAAAATGAAAACCAAAACAAAGAATTCAGCCGTCACCAGTATCACTTGCTTTCCTGAGTCAGACATAATTCTGTGGGAATATTTTTATCTTTAAAAACCTCTGCCTTATTTATAAACTGTTATGAAAAGATAACTGATGTGTTTCTACAATAGTGACATGAATTATAAGGAGAACAACAGTATAACTCTTGGAATGCTTTAATCCTTAGAGTGCTGGTATATTGGCACCTAAACAGGTAAAGAAAACATCTGTCTGCCAAGAACACACCTTTGTAAATGAGAATGCTCTAGACCACATTCACCTCAAGCAGGTTTATGATATTTACAGTGAACAACAGTCAAAAAATCTGGGAAACAGAAGACAGATGCTTTGGTTTTGACGCTTTGCGACACAAAACTTTTACCTGCTCTCACGTCATCACACTGCAAACAACGCAGTTTGCTGACCTACTTACACAGCCACAGCAGGCTGTCAGGAACCAAACTGCAGGAGACGAGGGAAACACGTGTCTTTTTGAAAGGAGCTGTATTTCCAAATTAATGACTTTGCTCCAGATTAACCGTAAGGGCTAGCCTACACAAGCTTTGCCAATATTGCCACACTAGCAAACCTTAGTGTTAGAGTAGCAAAGCCATCTTTCCAAACCAAAGAGTAATAAAATTGGGGTT